TGTTCATGTGGTACTGAGGAATCGAACCCAGGCTTCGTGCATGCTAGGCAAGTGCTTTACCACTAAGCCACCTTCACAGCCCCTGTGAAACTCTTATCTACTATTAATAAACTACAAAACGAGGTTGTGGAGATGTGGCTCAAGTGGTAACGTGCTAACCTTGAGCAAAACGCAGTTCAGGGACAGCACCCAAGCCCTGAATTCAAATCCCAGGACCAGCACAAACACAAAAAATAATAGGTATATATGATCAAAATACATTACATATGTATATGGAAATACTACAGTGAAACCCCTTTGTACATAGATACATAGTGATAGAAAAGAACAAAAGGAGGCTCCATCATTTCATACTCTTTCCTGTTTGCTTACCAGCAAATGGGAAGAAAATAGTGTCTATAGCAGCTTTACCTTATTACATATCAAACAAATACTTTTTAAGTTGTGGGTCTTGAACTCAGGCCATGGACGCTGTCTTTGAAACTATGTTTTCAAGGCTAGTGCTCTACTGCTTGAGCCACAGCACCACTTCTGGTTTTTGACTGGTTAATTGGAGAACAGGAGTCTCATGGGGACTATTCTGCCCAGGCGGCTTCAAACCATGGTCTCAGATCTTAGTCTCCTGAGTAGCTAGGATTACAGGTGTGAGCCATCAGTGCCCAGCTTAGAGCAACTACTTTAAAGTGTATCTGTATCTCATTTATCTGTAAAACATAGTTGGTGGGGTTTTTTTTAATGTTTACAGCGAGCTCTGATTTTTTATTAGAATTTCCAAGATTGAATCAGAACCCTTTCAAAATTTTCACAGGAAATTTTTTAAATAGCATTTTGAAAAGGAAAATCAAAATTAAAAGCAAGTAGGGAGAAAAAAACTTTTGCCGGGTTTTTCTTTGTTCACTGTACTGAGCCTGAGAGCTCTTGACCTTTCACATCACCTGTTTACTGCCCCCACATTAATTTTGATGCCATAAGGTAAAAATTTTAACCAGTCTTATTTAGGTACAGTTCATTTAGGTAACAATTCATTTGTGAAATGTGCTTTTGTAAATATGAAAAGATTAGACTTTCTGTTTTCTGAAAATGAATGTTCTTCATTAAAATTTGGCAAACATTTCATTGAAGCCACAATTGTCATGGGTGATGCACATGAGAGGTCATCCTGTAGCTAGCTGTCAGACTTTCATGAGCCTTCAGAAATTAAGGGGAATAAGTGAGATTGTTTTCTTGTAAGCTGTCATAGTCTTTTCTTCAAAGTGTCAGGCCAGAGTCGTGCACATATAACTGTTAGAAACCTTCTCTAGCTAGTATTTTACTCTTACATTCTTTAGTGCTATATTTTTTCTTTTCCTTTAATGTTTAGTTTGTCACACAAAGCATGTATGAAGAATAAGTAGATTTGAAAGGTCTTTAAGAGTTTGAATTACTTTTAAATTTTGAAATAAGAATTTGTTTCATCTTAGGAAATGATAGTAGAATCTCTAGTATTCTTAAGGTATATTATAGAAAATAATATGGATATGCAGTTAACTTTTTTAGAGACCACAGTAGTGATTTTGCTAACCGTAGAGATTCTGGGGTCAATGGAAAGGATGATTTCCAGAATCCTCTGTAAGGCTGAACTTTGAGCAATCAGTTAATTGTGGCTGAAACCTTTAGTTAATTGACTAGATACTTTTCTTAAAAGGGTTACAATACAAACATCACAGCTTTTGGCCTAGCAAATCAACTGTAAATGTCTTAAAAGGGACCCCTATGGGCTGGGAAGGTGGCTCAGTAATAGAGTGCTTGCCTTGCAGGGGTGAGACCCTGTGTTCAATTCCTCAGCACCACATTAACAGAAAAAGCCAGAGTGGTACTGTGGCTCAAGTGGTAGAGCACTAGCCTTGAAGAGCTGAAGAGCTGAGGGACAGCGCCTAGGCCCAGAGTTCAAGCCCCACGACCAACCAAAAAAGTTGGGGGGGGGACTTCTAGAAAGGGCTACAAAGCATGTCCAAAAGTAATCACAACAGGAAGCTGTTAATCTTAAGTACCTTGTGAAAAAAGTATACCAAGAAACAGGAGTGGGGGCAGGGTAAGGAAGAGAGAGGGAGAGAGAGAACTTTGAGGTAAGGTGTTATTACAGCGAGATATCAAAAATTATATAAATTTTACAGTAGAGCAAGGATATTCCAGTCACAGTGCAGATCATATCTATCTGGAAGTACAGGTAGGTATTAAGAAGAACAAATTTCTGAATTGCCAAGTGTGTAAAATGTCTGTAATAGTGTATGTGTATTTACACACCCATATATACATATACAGAGAGAATTTATGTAAATAAGACTAGATAAGTTTCTAAGGCTTTCTTGCTAGACTTAATTCACGGACTTTATATTCTATTGAAAAGGCAATGTCAAGTCATAGAAAGCTTTCAGATGGAGCAGAACCACCAGGTTGTACTTAGGCAGAACCTGAAGGTGGGTTAGCATCATGGCATCAGGTGGGTTATGGTAGAATTCCTGGTGAGACTATGAGGGGCCAAGTCAAAGTTTCTTAATAGTAAGAAGAGGAAATGACTGAGTTACTGCTGGGTAAATCATTGGCACTTAGTAGTAAATTGATACAGGGATGATAAAAGGCAGGGGAGGCTCCAGAAAGATGAATTACTGGCCATTACCTAATAGAATGTTATATTTGTATATGAATCTGGAGGTTTTTAAATTCATAAAACATTACTATATAGAATCTCTCCTACTAACTCTGAGAGTTAAGGATAACAGTAGAATTATGGATGAGAAAGTGAAAATTTTGGGATAGTTCAATGTTAATACAGAGCCTATTAATGTAAAGATATGGGTCTGTAACTGTAGACTTCCAGTCTTTGGTCAATGAATTTATAAAGTGTTTTGGCCTTCATGAATTTGGAAGAAAAGCCCTGGCATGTAGTCTCAGGATCTGCCATTAAGTTTTTGAATATGAGCAAAGTGCTATATCACTTCTTTGGACTTTAGTTTCTCCAGATCTCTTTAACTTTTGAACTTTTGTTTCTTCAGTGCTACTTTTAGTCCACTGTCACTAACTCTTCCCCCCCACCCCCCACAGTTCTGAGGCTTCTGCCACATAGCTTCATGGTAGTCTAATGTTTCTACCCAGCAAATGTAAATGAGCACTGTACTTGTTAATGGGGGTACAAGATGTTTTAAACCCAATCTTTGCATTTTCAGTCTTTCACAGATTAGAAGAGAAGAAAATGTGTACAATAATTATAACAAACTACAGTAAATGCTCTTACAGGAATGTGTAGTTGATTATAGATTCACAGAAAAAGGAGCCATTAGCCAAGCCAGAGAGGGCTTTAAAGGGAAGTGTGAATGGAGCCTTCAGATTTAATTGGTAGTTTAGTAGTAGTAAAAGGCAGAGGTAAAATAAAAGCATCACCATCATAATATAGATAGATCTTTTCATTTTACTAGTGAGGAAGCAGATTCAAAAGGGTTGTGATTTCATCAAAGTGATAAAGCCAGTAAGGCAAAGCAGGGAACTGGGAATGGTTGACCATCACTCAAGGCATAAACATAAAGAGGGAGAAGAACCAAGGTTTAAGCAGTGCAAGCATACTCTTTATTTCAGACATTAAAAGAAAAAGAAAACTGGTAGTTTCAGGATAGCAAAGGGCATGTGAGAGACAGTGGAGGGGTAGCTAGTAAATATGCGCAGTTGTAATAGTTTACTCTATAGGCCTAAATATTTCCTCTGGCTAATTTTTAAAGTTTAGAGAAGCTATCCACTGATTTGAGAAAATGAAGGAGTGAACACAGAACTTGTGTATAAAGTCATCAGACCTTGGATGCTACTGTGTGACACAAATTGAAGAAAACTGGGTAACAGGTATACTGGACTTCTATATTTGAATATCCTATGAATCTGTGATTAGTTCAAAATACAAAAATTAAAAGGCAAAGGCTTAATTATAAGCAGGAACAGTTTGGATGTGGTAAATGACTGCATTTACACATAGGAAAGCAACTATCTTTTATTTCTACCTCTGAAATAGTCTTGTATGAATGTATGACTTTTTAAATTTAGTGTTTGTTTTTCTCAGCTTTAAAGAGGTTTGTGAAGTAGTAACCTTTTAACTACTCTGAACTCCCCTGTGTTGGCCCCACTTTGAGAAATTAAGATTTAGTTTTTGCTTAGATTTCTCTATCACCACTAACATATGTCTTATTTCTGCCTCTTTATTTTCTTACTATAATTGACAGATTCACTTCAGTAATAGCAATATTCTCTTTTATTTTAGCTATAACTTTCTACTTCTGAGCAACTTATTCTAAAAAAACAAATCTTGTTTTCACTTGCTTGTAGAAATGAGAACTTTGTCAAAAACAAACCACAAATGTCATCTTTGTGGTGCTTCAAATAATGATATGGGTATTGTAGTTTTAACTCCCAATTGTATTCAGAAAAGAAAAATTCTACAGTTACAAGAAATCTCATTGTTTTCTATTGTTTGTATTCTTCAAAGTAATTAGTATAGGTTTTATAGTGATGACTTTAAGTTATAAACCGCTGAAATTATTTATGGGTCCTTAAGGGGTTCTGAGAGAGTTGATTGTTGCTATTAGTTGGTGTAGCCAAAGTAGAATGTACTGTTTTTCTTTCATAAGTATTGTATTTGATTGTAAACGTTGACATGAGATATTTGTATGAGAAAGAGGAGAGATGGTAGGGAGGGGAGGAGACTAGGTATGGAACCTAGGAACTCTTGCATGCTAGGCAGATGCTGTAGAACACCCCTTAATGAATGCAGGAAATATTTGATTGGTTTCTTAGGGCCTTAAAGTGAGGTGAAGTGTGTGTGTGTCTATGTGTGTATGAAATTTTCAGTATATTGGTTTAACTTTCCTGGGTGATGGTGGTATGATCCCAAGAAATAGGTTCTTAATTTTATAACAATGATTTTCCATTGGTTACTATTCATTAATCATTATTATTTCATATAATGTTTTATTGGTTTTCAGGTACTTGAAGAAGCAGAAGCTCAGCATTTATATCAGTCTATTTTGCCTGATATGGTGAAAATTGCGCTCTGTCTACCAAATATTTGCACCCAGGTTAGTGAAATAAAACTTTCCTGAGGCTCACCGTTTAATTTCCTTTGAACTCTGATGACCTAGATGGAGGGGGAGTAGGGCAAGGGAAGGATGGAGAGAGGGAAAGGTTTTGCCAAAGAGTATGATAACTTTGCTATGTTAAATATCGGAGGCGTGGGGCTGGGAAGGTAGCTCAGTGGTAGAGCGCTTGCCTTGCATGCATGAGGCCCTGGGTTTGGTTCCTATGCACCATATAAGCAGAAAAAGCCAGAAGTGGTGTTGTGGCTCAAGTAGTAGAGCGCTAACCTTGAGCTGAAGAGCTGAGGGACAGGTCCCAGGCCCACAGTTCAGGCACCACGACTGGACCCCCGCCCCCCCAAAAAAAAGAAAAGATTGGAGGCTAGAAAGAATGCCGCCAAGGACATTAAGAAAGTAGCATTCAGTTTCTGAGCTTCATTTTTCCACTATTGAAGTTTGTTTACTCAGGTTTTTCCTCTTTTTGTTTAAACAATCTGTCTTTTTTAAAGTGTGGTCATTATTGAAAACATCCTAATGGATCTGGGATTTTGTTTTTAAAATGGTTCAGTAGTGCTGGGTGCTGGTGGCTCACGACTGTAATCCTAGCCACTCAGGAGACTGAGATCTGAGGATCATGGTTCAAAGCCAGCCTGAGCAGGAAAGTCTGTGAAACTCTTATCTCCAATAAACGACCAGAAAACCGGAAGTGGCGCTATAGCTCAAGTGGTAGAACGCTAGCCTTGAGCTGAAGAGCTGAGGGCCAGCGCTCAGGCCCAGAGTTCAAGCCTGATGACTGACCAAAAAAAAAAAAAAAAATGGCTCAGTAGTATCTATTCCTTCCTAACTCTCCTCCAAAGAAATGTGTTTTTTTCTTTCCTTTTTAAAAATTTTATTGTATAAGTGGTGTACAGAGGGTTACAGTTAATATGAGTCAGGTAATGAGAATACTTCCTTTTGAACACTGTCTCCCTTAATTCTCTTCCAGTTTTTTCCCTCCCAACTGTTCCTTCCCCCAAAGTTGTATAGTTCATTTCAAACATAGTGTCTAGTGGGTTTTACTGCTGAAATGGTTCATCCTTTGTCCCACAGTTTCTCTGTTTCACCTTCCCTTCCCCAAATCAGATAAACTTACATATAAGACCAAAGGTACAGAAATCAAAAAGGGAAGAGATGTATTTTTTTGCAAATGAGTTCATAATGCTTTCTTATTTGTAAAAATAACAAGAATATTGTATTACTTCAGTTTAGACTACAGTAAATATATTTTGCTACTTAACAAATAACATTAAATTTATTTACCAGCGTCCTCACCATGAGCCTCTCTATCGGCTGATTGGATATCCTTGTGACTTGGTAGCTAACTTTCCCAGTATAAGCAAGCCAAGGGAGGTAGTTCAGAAGTACAGTAGGTTATGAGCACATCTTTTAAGGCTGCCAGTGTCACTTACTCTATCTTTCTACCTATAGGAAAATAGTCATCAGTATACCCAGGAGAAAGGAATTTGGCTCTGCCTCTTTTTCTGTTCAGTCAAATGTCCCCCCACACCTACATCCTGACTTGAACTCAGCCAGGGCACAGTCCTTGAGCTCCTCAAGGCTAGTGCTCTACCATGCACTTCCAGCTTTTTCTATGATTTATGATTTAATTGGAGATAAGAATCTCACTTTCCTGCCTGGGCTGGCTTTGAACTTCAATCCTCAGATCTCAGCCTCCTGAGTAGCTAGGATTACAGGCATGAGCCACCAGAGCTTGGCTCACTTAAATGTTTGTTTTGTTTGTTTGTTTTTTTGAGTTCAGCAAGTAGTTTGATGGCATTTAGCCTTTGGGCAAAGATGACTTAATCTTCTCATCCTTTCATGCTTTTGGAGAAAACCTTTCCATAAATTACTTAGGGGGGGAGGGGAAATTTGCTCAAAATCATTTAAGCTTCTTTGTTATTATCTTTAAGTAGATGTACAAAGGGGTTTCCATTCAGTATGTCCCCAACCCATACCCATCCCCTCAAGTTACTTCGCTATATTTTCACATATGTGCACTGAATATAAGGACTGTATTTGCCCATCTTTTCTCTCTGTCTACTCCCCTCCCCTGCAAAAAAAAATGAAATTTATAAACTTTAAATCTCTTGATAGAACCCACATCAGATTCATTGCTCTCCACATTATTTTTTTTTAAACAAAGTTGTAGGTTGGCCAGAACTTAATTTTCCCTACCACATCTGGCTCAATAACATCTCGGTTCTGTGCTCTTTTTTTTTTTTTTCTGAAAAGTCAAGGTTAAGGTTTCAATTAGAGATCAAAATACATTTTTGACAAGTTGTATATTTAGTTAGTTACTATATTAAAGCATTCTAGGCCAAATCGAAAAGGTAACTTTAGATTTATATAAGGAAAAAAATCAAAGGAAACAAATGTTGGGATGTTTTAAAATACCTTGGTTCATAGTAACCAGTCTCTTACTTTATCTAGCTGAGTGTTTGCCAGTAAGATTTGTATTTCAAGTTCATTAAGGTTGGAATATTATTCATTAAAATTGAAAGTAATTTTCCTGGGTAATTTCTCACTAAAACCAAGTATTAGGCTGCTTTAAGCCATTGATACCCTGTCATCTTTTCTAACCTCGTTGCTAGCTTCTGAATAAATATTTAGGATAGGAAGAGAGTTCCATATTTGCTTTCTTACAAATGGCAATTACTAAGGCCTGAAAGAATGCGAGATTTTGGAAGTTTTACCTTTTGGTTGTTTATTTCTTTTTAAATTTTTGTAAGAGAACTAGAAAATTGAATTGTAACTTTAATCTTTTATTGTACTATTAATATGTACTTTCCTATTGCTGAGAGAAATTATGATTTTGTTTAGTCTTACCTTTCCTCAAGTACCTTTTGGATATTAGAGGGTTTTTTTTTGGGTCCGGTTGTGGGGCCTGAACTCTGGGCCTGGGCACTGTCCCTCAGTTCTTCAGCTCAAGGCTAGCGCTCTACCACTTGAGCCACAGTGCCACTTCCGGCTTTTTTCTTTTTGCTTATGTGGTGCTGAGGAATCGAACCCAGGGCCTCAGGCATGCAAGGCAAGCGCTCTACCACTGAGCCACCTTCCCAACCCTAGAGGTTTTATCAGGGCAGTTCTCTCTGCAGTTTGCTTGGGATTTGTGCAGACACTCAGCAGTCTTGGTTCTAGATATTGCTGAAAGAGAAAAGAGAAATATCTCTAAATGTTATAGAGAGGTATTTTTTTGTTCTTGACAACACGTGATTGAACTCAGAGACTTGAGCTTGTTAGACTACTGCTCTACCACTTGAGCCATGCCAGTATTTTTGCTTTTAGCTTATTTTCCAAATGGAGTTTTTGCCTGGAGCCAATATTAACCATACTCCTCTTACCTCCCTTTCCTGTGTAGCTGGAATTATACATGTGTGCCACCATCTACCTGTAGTGAGCATTTTGAAATTTAAACAAACTGGCATGACAGTTGGTTTTTTGTTTCACAAGCCTGTCTTTAAAACCACAGTTTAGCTGGGCACCGGTGGCTCACAGCTATAATCCTAGCTACTCAGGAAGCTGAAATCGAGGACCGCAGTTCAAAACCAGCCTGGGCAGGAAAGTCTATGAGACTCTTCAATAAACCACCAAAAACCCGGAAGTGGTGCTGTAGCTTAAGTGGTGGAATGCTAGCCTTGAGCTGAAGAGCTCAGGGACAGCAACCAGGCCCACAGTTCAAGCCCCATGACAGACAAAAGCAAACAAACAAAAAAACACCACAGTTTAGACACAAGAGATAGATTAAAATCCACTGAACACAATATTCAGGTCCTATGGATTGTACTGACTATACAGTTAAGTGAATTTGGGTTTGGTAAATAGAAAACATTTTAGAAATAACAGATTTGAGGCCTGGGAATGTGGCTTAGTGACAGAGTGCTTGCCTAGCATACATGAAGTGCTGGGTTCCATTCCTCAGTGCCACATAAACAGAAAAAGCTAGAGGTGGCGCTATGGCTCAAGTGGTAGAGTAATATGCCCAGGCCCTGAGTTTAAGTGCCAGGACTAGAAAAGAAAGAAAAAGAAATGAAAGAAGTCCTGTATTTTCCCTGTCATGGAATGTTTGATTATTTAGGAAATGCTTATCTTCAGCAAGTTATATGTAAGTCTATGTGGCATTTTTCACATATTCCAATAATTGGTCTAATAAAATCAGATTTAGATCTCAAGCTGCCAATGTACAGTGTGATTCAGAATATGAGGAAAATATTTATTGAACTGTTCACCTTAGATCATCTTATTAATGACTAAGAAATGCTCTGTCCAACTATTTTTAATTATAAGGACAATTTAATATAAGCAATAATCTAAATTCAGTGTGATAGTTCTATGTTTCATCTTTTAATTTTTCATTGCATGACTAATCTATTTCTGTTTAATTTATAATTTTGTGTTTTACTACTGATATTTTGTGTCCTCTCCATGATCACTATTATTGATTAGAAATCTGTACTTTATCAAACAAGGACATTTTTTCAATCAGGCCTGATAAGCAGCCCTTGAGTTTAATAATATTGCTGACATAGGATTAAAGAGTGGCATGATATTATTCCTGCCTTAATTGAGCAAATGCAATTTGGTGCCTCTGCTTTCAGAATTACTAAACTAATTATTGCTCTTCTCGTCTATATTTTTTGTTTCCCCCATCAGCCAATACCACTTCTGAAGCAGAAGATGAATCATTCCATTACAATGTCACAGGAACAGATTGCCAGTCTTTTAGCCAATGCTTTTTTCTGCACATTTCCCCGCCGAAATGCTAAGATGAAATCGGAATATTCTAGTTACCCAGACATTAACTTCAATCGGTATGTTTCCAGAAATCACTTGTTTTGCACTGGAATGGAGAATGGTGGAAGAAACTAATAGATTTTTTTAATTATTTGCCAATACTAAGCACTTTATATATATCTTTACTGTTATTTCAGTGATGTTTTTACCATTTTCCAGGCAAGGTAGTTAAAGTTCATGAAAGTAAAGAACTGATTGGGATCCAGAGCCCTGTAAGTCACAGAACTAAGATTCTATCTTAGTTATTCCAGTGCTTTGTTGTTCCATCTTTAGATTGTCCTTCAAACACTCATAGTTCCATCAGCCTCTAGTTTGACTGTCATGGAAATATTTGTTGTACATTATGTTCTTTATATATTGAAATAATGTGACATTGGGAGGACAAGTCCTTTCTATAAGGATCTCAAAATGTGAAAGTATTAAAATCTAAGGCTTCAAAAATATGTCAAAAGTGAAAACTACAAAGTGATGGATATTTATAGACCTGATTAATTTATCAAAGGAGTATTTCTTTTTTAATATTTTTATTGTAAAGATACTGTACAGAGGGGTTACAGTTACATGAGTAAGGTAATGAGTTCATTTCCTATCAAGCATTGTTACCCCCTCCTTTGTTTTTCTCCTACCATCTCTTCCCTGCCCACCTCCACAATTCCTCCCTCCCCAGCCCCCCTGGGAAGTTGTAAAGTTCATTTTCAACATAGTATCTTGTACATCTCATTGCTACAATGAATCAACCTGTATCTTTATTTCAGCATTTTGTTATTTCCCTTCCCCACCCCAAATTAGAAAAATGTATATACAAGATGATGCAGGGCACCAGAATCAAATATAATGAAAACAGGGGTTATACTATGGGGGAAGAACATACAAAAGAAACAAAAAAAAATCACATAGTACATTATAAGTATATTAAAAACAACAACAAGAAAGATAAAACCTCTTGTGTCCCTATCTTGGGGTTAATTTTATTTAGCATCATCTTATATGGTCATATGTACATAGCTTTTGACCTTTTCTGCTTGTCCTACACTTATACTAATTATTGCAAGTAACCATGGGACCTTTGTTTCTTTGGGCCTGGCTTACTTCACCTAATATTTTTTCCAAGTCTTTCCATTTCCTAACATATGGGGTGATGTCATTCTTTCTGATGGAGGCATAGAATTCCATTGTATATATTTACCACATTTTCTACTCATCTACTGAGGGGCATCTGGGTTGGTTCCATATCTTTGCTATGGTAAATAATGCTGCGATAAACATAGTTGAGCTTTAATATGGCCTTGTTTGTGATCATTTGGGTAAATGCCCAAAAGTGGGATTGCTGGGTTCTAGGGGAGCTCTATGTGTAGTCTATGTGTAGTCTTTTGAGGAACCTCCATACTGCTTTCCAGAGTGGTTGAACAAGTTTACATTCCTACCAGCATTGCAGTAGGGTTCCCAAAGGAGTATTTCAAATTATTGTCTACATTAATACACCATAAACATTTTGAAGATTATAGATTCCATCCATTTTTCCATAATCTACACAAATGAAAGCATTGAAATGCCTCTTCTTGGCAAATGAATAGCATATTTTTCCTTCTTTCCCTTCAGTCACCAATGCTTTTTCTCCCAACTTGTATTTCTTTTTTCACTTGAGGATATCTTTATGGGTCTATATATGCTCCTTTTGTCTGTAGGTTTGTATAATGCCTACCTCCACCACCTCTAATCATCCATCTGATGACTTTGAGGGTAGGTTAGTATAGCAGTGTTTAGTCAGCCAGCCTCAATACTTAAAACTATTTAGTTTCACTTGTTAGAGATCTTGGATTTCAGTTCTTCAGAGGTACCATATCATCCTAATTCTTTGGTAAATATATCTGGCCTTTAAATAGTTACTTTACAGGAGGAAGAAGTTATCACAATTAAGCAGAAAACAAAGTTAATAAAAGTTATTGTTATTTTATTTTGAAAAGGAATCCCACAGACTGTATAAGAGCCTGCAAAGGTTGCTCACACCTGTAATCCTATGTACTCAGGACACTGAGATCTGAGCATTGTGGTTTGAAGCAAACCTAGACAGGAAAATCTATGAGGCTGATCTCAACTAACCACCAAAAAGCCAAAAGTGGAGTTCTGGCTCAAGTGGTAGAACACTAGCCTTGAACTAGCCCAGACCACCCTGAGTTCAAGCCCTAGTTCTGGTATGAAAAAGAGAAAAAAAGCAAAAGCAAGTATATGGACCTCCTTCACAGTTGCACCTCCATAGTCACTCTATGATTGCCTGTTCTTTACCCCAAGCATTGTGTTCAGCAAGTGGACAAAAGTAAACCAAGAATCTTAAGTGGTGGGGACATGCACTGCTCTCCATAGTGCATGTCTTCTCAACAGTGTAACTGCAGAATGACAAAGGACAGAAATGAAGAAGTCTTTAAAAGGCGTGGCTTCATAACTTCCCATTCCCTGTTAGCAGTTACCAAAATTTATGTTCATTTATGCTCATCTTAATATATGTTCTAATTTTAATCTTTGGTTTTTTAGGTGTCTTTTTTTTTTCATTATTGGATGACCTTGAGAATAGCCAGGTTTTGTCTTTTGTTTGTTGGGGTTTTTGTCAAAAGAAAGGATATAATATGACTTAAAATAGTTACAAAGGTTACTAGGATTCAAAGAATGTTTGGAATTGGATTTTGTCAAGTGCTAGAAAATTGGAATGAAGCTTTGTAGAAAAGTTATTCTCATTAGGATATTAACCTTGAAGTAGATCTGAAGAGTGCTTGTTCTTATGCAAGTTTATTTCAACTTGGAGAATAGAGGTTAGGTGGATTTTTTTGTTTTGCCTTTTGTTTTTCACTTTTCTACCTTTTCTTGTTAGGTATAGTATTATAAACCAGATTCTGTTGTGACCAGCTAAATTTCTAATGGTACTCTGGCAGTAACACGTTTATGTTTTTAGACATGGTCCATTTAGCTCAAACTCTAAACCTGTTTTTACTGAACACCATTATTTAGCTTAAAAACACTAAAACTGTTTTGTTTGGGGGAGGGAGGTTGGAAGAGACTCTGTCTTTCTCTCTGTCTCTCTGTCCCTCTGTCTCTTAGGGCTTGAACTCAGGAACTGAGAAGTGTCCCTGAGCTTTTTCTGCTCAAGGCTAGCACTCTACCACTTGAGCCACAGTTCTACTCCTTGCTTATTTTTGGTAACTATATGAGGTGAGAGTCCACTCCTTGCTTATTTTTGTTAATTAAATGAGGTGAAAGTCTCTTGGACTCTCCAAGCTTCCTTCCTTCCCCAGGCTGACTTTGAACCAAAATCCTCAGATCTTAGCCTTCTGAGTAGCTAGGATTATAGGTGTTAGCCAGCCACCAACACTAAATGTGCTTTTAGTGTTCCATGATCATTTAGCTCAAGTTCTATGTCTTTTAGTGTACTTTGTTAATTACTAAACTATTGGCCTAGGGTGTGAGCATGTTATTATTGACAGGAGTGGGGGGGGTGCAGTGAAGCTAGGTTATTTTTTTATGAAAAGATTATAGATTAGGGCAATACAAATACTTTATATAAATGCATATTGATTTCTCAGTAGTTATGATGTTTAGCTTAAGTATCTAGTCTTGCTATGGCATCAGAAATAAATTTCTGTGAGAATATCTTAATAGTTACTTTTTAATCAAGCAATTGTGCTAATCACGACTAAAACCTAATTCTTAATCAATTGAGGATATTATTGATTAGATATTGCTATCATTCCCATTTTTCATATAGAAAAGGTAGAGGTCTGGGTGGTTGGGTTGTTCATCATTCACACAGTCTCTGGAAGAGTTTGGATTCTTTTAGGATGTTGTCTGCTGCTACAAGTTATGTCCCTAATCACCCACTTCACAATCTCCCTTTGAATAAACCAGAGTAATAACTTAATACCTCATAGTTAGTCAGCAATTAGGGCAATTCTTAAGGATAATTTTTGTTCTATTAAATGAATCAAAGCCATCTGTAAGCCCAGAGTGACCATGATTGATTTCAGGTTGCAGTAAATAGCATTTTCACCCAATAAGAGTTTAACTGGGTTTGTTGAAGATTTAAAGCGAGACATATTCTTGTCTTGCTAGCTAGTGGATGTTCTTTTGGATACTAGAACATTGAAAATGAATTAAAGCTGCTAAACTCATAGTAGTCTTCATAATCGTCACAGGGACTTTTAGCAGGCAGATTGTCTGCACTTCTCAGTAGGAGATGATACCTACTTTAGTGACACAGGAACAGTGACTAAGCATGGATGCATCTGTCAATGGCGCATTTCGATTCTATCTATTGAAGTTTCTAGGTAGGGACTCTTAAAGCATTACTAATGTTCATGGGACTTAAACACTGTCTTGTTTAAACTCCGTGCTTTTCATTGTGTCTCACTGCCTCTCGAGAGCATAATGTTCTGAGAGTGCGCTGGAATTGGAAGACATCTCAAAGTCCCCCTTTGCCATGCAGCAATCTGATGAACCATTTGGTAAGCTAACTATGTAGCACTTTGTTGTCAGTGTGTTTCCTTTCTGCATAGTTTGTATTTATGATGATAGTTTCTGGCAATTGGGAGTTTTGTGTGTGTATGTGTGAGCTGTTATTTAATTTTAAATGAAAGATGGCTGCCTGGTTGATTGAGTATGTGATGGGAGGCTGGTGTCAGTAAATCAAATAAGTCTTCTCTTTTTATTTATTGTTGTGTTCTTCCAGACCTGCTTAGTTATGTTAAATACTCCTGACCTTTTCCCCTGCTTGCCTTTCAAGGCCTAAACATTCATATAAAGGCTTCCAATGTGATTAGCATTGATGCTTCTGAAATTGCATGGAAACTAGATGGTCAGAGATGAATTGTAGGTCTCAGCAATGGTCAGCCTGGAAGGCTTTTATGTCTTACTTCTTCCCTGGATTGAAAAATGCTACTAAGGCCATATGGCAGAGTACCTCACAAAGGAGCCAGGAATGGCATTCTGGCTGAGACCCACATTATCACTTGCTTCTGTTTTAAAGTGGAGGTTATAGTGCTTCATGCTTAATTTACTATGTATGTACAAATGGAATTAATCCTTAACTCCAAATGGTATGGAGTATGTGTCTAGAATCCACTTCCAGTAATGTTATCAGTGTTCCATTCAGGGAAAGATTTTATTAAACCATGTTTCTCTTTATAAATATGGAAAGAAAATCACCAGTTAATAAGTATCTGACCCTTGATTGACTTCTTCCCTTGAAAATGCAAAAACTGTTTTATTTAAAACAAAGTGGGCGGGGGGAGGAGAGCAGGAGATGGGAAAGGGATGGTAAGGGGAAACAGAGGAGTCAACAATGCTTGATAAGAAATGTACTCATTACCTTTCTAATGCATTTGTAACCCTTCTGTACGGTATTTTCACAATAAAACAAAATAAACAAAGTGAGGTTATTTGACTGGCTTTTTTTGTTGGCTTTTTAAAATAATCTGTAGTTATCATTTAGTGACATACCAAAATGTCTTCTCCACATATATAGAAGCTATTATGGCTTAGTTTGTTTCCATACATGTGAAAATAATATATACCTTCCCCCAAAAAAGATGCTGAAAAGAGTCTAAAAATTGACCATGCTTGACTATTATGAGGGCTCCCCCCAAAAAAATCTGTGTCTTTTTTCTCAGTAATGTCTTTATTTTCACATTTCAGTTTCTCCTTCCATCTCCAGCCCCATTTCTGTTCTCCAGTCTTCCCTTCCCTCTTCTTGGGCCTGTCCTCAAGACCCTTTACCTTAAATTGGACATCACTTTCTTATGATGACTTTTCTTTCATGCCTGTTGCCCGTGCATTCCTGTTTTATGTTCACTTAGTGCAATGATGGTATAATTCCTTTTATTTAGTGGCTATAACATAAAAGAGAAGTAGCAGCTAGGTCTGAGATTTGTCATAAAGGTTTTAAACCAACTTCCTGCTTCTGACTATATCTTCACTGCTACACACGCATCCATACACACCATTCCCACCTATCATCAGGGGAATGGGAAAGCCTATTTGGTTATACAGGGATTTGAAATTAGACTTGGAGCCAGAAATAAATATATTAGATTGAGATTCTGCTTCATCTGACTGTTAAGATTTGGACACATGTTGAACAGTGTCACTCATTTGTAATAATAGTAATATCTAATTTCCCACAAAAATCCATATTACCAAGATAATAATTGTGTAGTCCCAAAAGACTCCTAAGATTAATAAACTGTCATCATAGTCATGAAATATGTGGACTTTGATGCAGTTTTGCAAACACCTGGCAACCACATAATAGGAGCTAGGGACATTTTGCTTTTTGTGTTTTGGGAAATTTTTCCTTAAGAGCAATAGCCATTTTGCTGCTTCTCCCTATGGAAGAACTTTTTCCCTCTAACTGAACTGTATAATATGGTAGTTCATCTCCAGAAAAAGATGATAGCTGCTGTCTATATTCTTACTGTTTACTTCTACTATAAAATATCCCTTGGAAGGAGTTTTGCAATGCAGTTTAAGATATGCATTTAGTAAAACATATTTATTAATATATGCTGTTAAGCTACCAAGTAGCTTTTTTATCTTGACTATCATTTTGATAAATTGTATTCTGGTTGACATATTGTAGAGAACTCAAGCTGAAACCTGCCCTTTTTAGGTAGCTTGTGGTTTTAAAAGTATGTATGATGCCAGGTGTGGTGGTGGTCCATGCCTGTAATCCTAGCTACTCAGAAGGCTGAAATTTGAAGATCACTATTCAAAACCATCCTGAGCAGAAAAGCCGATGAGACTCATAGCCAGGAGTAGCGCTGTGGCCTAAGTGGTAAAGTGCCAGTCTTAAGCATAAAAGCTAAAGGACAGTACCCACGCCCTAAGTTCAAGTCCCTGATCCCCCACCCCACCCCCACACACAGAAAGTGTGTTAAATATTTTAAATAGTCTGAAATGAGTAAAAATGATTACTTGAGCACTGGAACTATTTTTTAATAGATTAAATTTTAGAGGGTTAAAATACTGCCCAAACATTTCTTTTTAGAAAATACTCGTAGAAGTTGTTTTTCCAGAACTTGGCCCTAAATACAGATTTCAGATCATTGTAAACAGAACTTTTGATATCTGTTTCATCTCCTTTTCTTAATTCATGTCAGTTACTCAATAGGATTTTCTCATAAAAGTAACTTTTCCCCTTCTATATACTTACATAAGCTTGCTCTTCTAATGGTGAAACACTTAATAAAGTAGACTTTTGCTTGAAGGGTTTCTCAATTTAAAGTCATAATATATGACTAGAGGCAGAGAATCCTTACCATTTGTAGCCACCAAATCTCCCTGCAATTTTTAAATGCCTTTGGAAAGCTAGAATTTATTCACAAATGCATGCTTTTGTATAAGAAATCTTTTAGTAAGCTACTTACTGAGTTCCTATGCTTCTAAAGCTCTGCTTTTCTTTCAGCAAGATAAATTGAATTACATGTTACCCATAACAACGCCATGCCATTTCAAGGAAAATCACATTAAGTAGTGTACCTCCAGGTTGCTGGAAACTGGATGACATAGGGTGGGCACTGTTTTGGTTACCAAGCAAGGTATTGTTGTTAGTCAACTTGAACTGTTATAACAAAATGCCACTCGATAGATAGCGCAAACAACAGAAATTTGTTTTCTTACAATTCTGGGACTGGACAGCCCAGATTACAGTGTTATCCAGTTTGGTTCCAGATGAGGACTCTCTTCCTGTCTTGTAGATCGCTGTCTTCCTTCTACTTTCACATGACAAGAGATGCTCTGGTGTTACTTTTTATAAGAACCCTAATCTTATAAATTAGGATATGTCTTCAGTTAACACTTATGACCTTTTTACAGGTCCAACTTCCAAATTCAACTACTTTGTGGATTCCAGCTCTGACATAGGAATACTGGGAGACAGAAACATTCAGTATATAACAGGGTCTATTTGGTACTTCATAATCATCCTTATTATCTTACCATACTTGTTCAACTCTCTTCATTACATTTCCCTCACTTTAATTTTCTTATTACCATTTTTCTTTAATTTTGTAGCTACCAGTAACTATACATTGTAATCCCCCCCCCCACTTTCTTTTGCCATGGAGCAAATGGCTGTGCTTTAACTGACTGGTCCTAATTGGCCTTGAAGAAGATAGATTGTAGTGATGGTAAGCTTTGAAGGAGCCTGTTTCTAGAGGGGTTTAATATTTTGCAGACACCTTTAGAATCCAAACCACTGCACCATCTTCCATTATTACCAAGTAACCTTCTGAAAGAATTCTTTTTTATTCCTTAGTGGAAATAACAGATTGAGTGTTTTCATAGTCATTAAGGCATTTTAAATCATTCTCCATCCTCTTCATTTTGGGTCTCTTTCAGATTGTTTGAAGGACGTTCATCAAGGAAACCAGAGAAACTGAAAACACTCTTCTGCTACTTTCGAAGAGTCACTGAGAAAAGTAAATTCCTTTTATTCTTGATGTAATTACGTGAATGAGGACAATTCACATCAAGTGACAAATGTGGGACATTTTGGACCTAACATGTATATTCCTGCCCAAACCACAGTTAAACAATAATGATAAAATGGTGTAATTTAGACTTTTTACATAAATACAAAACTGTATGCTATTAATGTATATGGGTTCTATGTGCTCTGAAATCACACCCATATACTTTAAATCTATAGTATAAATTAAAGGATTTTTATTAGCCAAAACAGTGAAGTGGCACTTTGAAAGGACTGTATATTGACCAGAAAATAAAGGTTGAATGCTCTTAAAGAAGCATGAACTAATTTAGGTTCATTTAGATGACCAAGGAATTACTTCTTTTCCTACCCATTCCTTCTTTTTTGTCCTCCTACACCCTTTGTGGAGTTCTTATAAAACTAAATTACATTTAGTTTTTACTTATCTGTCTTCTATTGGACCTTACCATCTTGTTTTACTGGTATCTTTCCAGCAAGTGCAGGTTAATGACCAGCTGGTGGTAGATCCAGTTGAATGACCATGACCAAATTGCTTATTACCTCCACCTCACTTTTTTTATCTGTGAAATAAAGTCAGGCTCTGGCAGATACTAAAGAAGAGAATACATGTTTAAGGTATTAGCTATTATCAATGGGTAGCCTTTTCTACAAGATGATAATAAAGAAAACCAGCATACTTAGAAGTTTCCTTTAGCTAGGTACAGTAGCTTATGCCTGTAATCCTACCTACTCAAGAAGCTAAAATCTGGAAGATTATAAGTCAAGGCCAGTCTGTTTCCAGAAAAGTCTAAGAGACTCCGTTGCCAAAATAACTGGCAAAAAGCTGGGCCAGAGTTGTGACTCAAGTGGTAGAACACCAGTTGGGTAAGAAAGCCAAGCAAAGTATGGCATTCTGAGTTAAAACTACAGTACTGACAAAAAAGTTTCCTTTTGCTAAGTAAATCAGGTCTGTTCTGTTTAAATGAGTTCTTTTAGTTCTGGCCATCTATCTTTTTTTTTTTTTTTTTTTGGTTATGAGGCTTGAACTTTGGGCCTGGGGGCAGTCCTTCAGCTCTTCAGCTCTACCACTTGAGCCACGATGCCACTTCTGGTTTTGAGTTGTTTATTGGAGATAAGAGTCTCACGGACTATCCTGCCCAGGCTGGCTTTGAACCTCGATCCTCACATCCCAGCCTCCTGAGTAGCTAGGATTACAGGCATGAGTCACAGTGGCTGGCTCTAGCCATCTATTTTGTGGGATTTTCAAAGCTTCCTACAGTCATTTTTCTCCTACTTTAAAATTTTTCTCACATTACATTCTATTTTGTGTTCTTCACTTTCATATGTAACATTGGATCTTGTTCTAATTTTTGGAAAGAAATCAAGTATCATGGTTTTGATATTTAAGGGGAAAATCATGTTCTTTTTTGGTAAAGGAGTATTTATCTCCTAGCTTATTGAGTTTTAGTTTGGTTCTCAGTACTGAATAAAACATTAAGAAAAATGCAGGGTCTTTCAGGTTTATGATACACAGCATCAAATTAGAATTTATATTTACTTGTTAGAAAAACAGCTACTTTCTTTTTTACTGACATGGTTTTTCAATCTAAATAGGACTATTATAAATACATTATTATCAATAAGTAATTCAGAGTTTACTTTTCTGTCCTAGGGATCAAATCATATATCTCTTTTCTGAAAGCTAATTTGCCTTTCTATGTTTTAGGATTTCAGGTATTTTGAGAAAAAAGCACAACTTTTGATTTTATATTTTTAAGCTAGAAGTATACAGTTTCTCACAAGTTAGACTGAAAGGAATAAATTGTAATTAAGCATCCTATTTTCCAGGGTTTTTTTCCCTATACATGTTAATTTAGTTCAAAGAACTAAAGAAATAAAGTGAGGTATCATTCTAGATTTTGAGGATATAAATTCAGTGGCTTCAAGAAGAAAAACTAAAGGAAACAAAAGATTTATAGTATAATGGTAGAAGTTGCACGTACGTTCTGGAGCCTGCTGAAAAGAGACCGAGAAAGCTGTTTAAAGTATTTAATCAAATCTAAAACATAGATGGTAGGAAGTACCATCACATAATTTCTGAGGAGAAGAAGAAAACAATGAAATATTGAAGGATTTCAAAGAGCTTTCTGAATGAAATTGTTTTAGATAAAGTATCTTATAGGTCACATATTCCAAGATAAATAATATAGACATGCTCTCAAGGCATTTTGTTAATAATCATTTCTGAAGGAGGGTAGGATGAGAAAGGGGGAAATGGGGAACATGGACCAGGAAGCACTGTACTCATAATCTGACTTAGGAATTACAGTTCCTGGGCTGGGAAGGTGGCTTAGTGGTAGAGCACTTGCCTTGCATGCTTGAGGCCTTGGGTTCGATTCCTCAGCACCACATAAGCAAAAAGAAAAAAGCCGGAAGTGGCGGTGTGGCTCAAGTGGTATAGCCTTGAGCTGAAGAGCTGAGGGACAGCACCCAGGCCCAGAGTTCAGGCCCCGCGACCGGACCCCCCCCCCAAAAAAGGAATTACAATCCCTTTCTACAACTACTTAATATTTTAAAGAATACAATGTTATTAAAGTACAAAAAAATTATCTAAAGAACTATACCTTCCTCACTGTCTTTCTTTGCCAGCAGTGTTTATGAATTTCTCTAGGTTTCTCTGTCTGTATAGAGGACAGCTAATGATCTCCTCTGCCAATTAGCTGAAAAATGATATAGATCCATCCTAGTTTCCTATTAGAATTGCTTCTCCAGTGTCCAGATTGTTTAGTCTCTTACATATGTGTTTGAAATATATTGTCCATCATTTTAAAGTTAAATATTCTAAAGAATATTTTAAGATGCATTTTAATAAAAAAATGTTTTGGGGTTTTACTGGGCTTTGAGCTCAGGAACCTCTACTTTTAAGGCAGTGCTCTACTACTTGAGCCATGTCCTTTTTACTTGAGTGTTTTTAAGCTTGAGTCTCATGCATTTTTTCTTGGTCTTTCTGCCCACCTTCCTCTCACCTGGGAGTACAGGTGCAAACTATACCACAAAGCTAAACAGATTTTTTAAAAATGTTTTCTAATTCGGCGTTCAGCTACTCAATATGGTATTTAAGTTGGTACTGCATGGCACCTGCAGCAAAAAATTAAATAAAAATAAAACACAGAATTGTCCTTAGGAATGAAATTACAGCCGAACTTTATTTGGGCTCAACACTATTATCACTAATAGTTCCTGACATCTCTTTGTGCCTAAGAGCTTTTTTTTCTTTTGCAACAGAAGTGGCATAGCCCTTTTAGCAGACAGATTACTTTTGGTCAGCTGATTTATTTTTTGTTTTGCCACAGGCTTTTAGAAAAAAGAGTAAATCTAACAAAAAGAAGATCTCTAAAATTTATTGTGACTGCATTAATAATACTTCATTTTTTTTTTTTTTGGTCGTGGGGCTTGAACTCTGGGCCTGAGTGCTGCCCCTCAGCTCTTCAGCTCGAGCACTCTACCACTTGAGCCACAGCACCACTTCCGGTTTTCTGGTGGTTTATTGGAGATAGGAGGCTCACAGTCTTTCCTGCCCGGGCTGGCTTTGAACCGCGATCCTTAGATCTCAGCCTCCTGAGTAGCTAGGATTGCAGGCATGAGCCACCAGGGCCCGGCTCATTTTTATACTTTCAAATCTATTACTCCCTAAAAAAAGTCATCTTTATTCTCTAAACTCTTAGAAGAAGCAATTCTTCCTCCAGTTAAGGTGGCTTCTTACCAGTAGAGCAGTTGCTTATCATCTGAGCCACAGTCATAGTGTGCTACATAAAGGGCATGCCAAAGTTACTCTTTTTAAATCGTAGACATTTTACATCAACATAAGGCACAGAAAGTGTCTTGTTTACCAGTCTTAGAGTATAGGGTTAAGTTTTTTCTTTGAAATAGAGTCTACGGATTAGACTTCAGTTTTGCCCTTGTTGAAGCTATACCAACTATGATCTTTTTTACTGCTTTTCTAAAAAATGTATATCAGCTCTCAAATTCTACTTTCATGCTGTTAATTGCATAGTTTTATTTAGTGAGGATATACTATTTTATAGGAGCTTGTGATATAAAGATAATATTTCAAAAGCAATGTTCTATTTTAAGTTTGCCTTGAATTTCCAAGGCTTCCCCATCTATGAGTCAACCTACCAGAACCTTCTAAAAAAATACCATCTGCACTCAAATATGTTGACTTTTCCTTGTCATTATCTTCATAAACCATATAGTATAGTAACTATTTATGTAGCATTTACATTGTATTAGGTATTATCAATAACCTAGGGATGATTTAAAGTACACGGGAGGGTATGGTAGGTTATGTGTAAACATAGGGACTACTAGAGCCTCTATAAAGTTTGGTATCTACTAGTAGGTTCCAGGAACAACTCTCCATCGGTACAGAGAGATGATCATATTTCAAGCCTATATACTAAACTAAACTTGATTTTTCCTCCTTAGTTTCATTGACATTTGACCCATTCTTTTACTGTGTGTGTGTGTGTAAGTAAAGTTTTAAGTTTATTTTTTAAGCTTATTTTATGTTTTTTTTTTCTTTCCTGCTTTTTTAGAGCCTACTGGGTTGGTGACATTTACAAGACAGAGTCTAGAAGATTTTCCAGAATGGGACAGGTAATAATCAAAATAACCACAGACCTATAGATTAGGGCTGTCATGCCCTTATAAAGGTTTGTCGAACTCTTATTGCCCTACAGCCAGAGAATTTCTTCTCATAAATGACCTATCAGATAGCTTTGTTTGAAAAATTATCTTTTAAGTTCAAATGAACTTTTTGACTTCCACCATTTGCCTTCCGAAACAAGTTTTGCTTAGAATTAAGAAATGTTTACGTTAATATTAAGTAAAACTTCAGTACTTATATTTTTCTTTCATTAATGTTTATGTTTTCTGGCTTTTTTTAGGACAAAACTTGATAAAGTGTTTTAGTATAATAAAATGTAAAGAGTTTTAGAAACTGTCTGAGTGACAGGAATTTTGAACTGGGCTTTCCATGTCTACTACTTGCAGATTTCATGGAAGTTACCAATTAACTGTGATTTTTTTTCTTATCTATAAATATTGAGAATAATAACCAATAACTTAGGGAGAACTGAACATAGGGTTTCATGGTTGCTTGGAAAGCTTTCCACCACTTGGGCCACACCCCCTAGCCCTTTTTTACTTTATTTTTTTTTTTAGATAAAATTTATATTTTGCCTGATCTGATACCTCACACCATTCTTCCTTCTTGTGCCTCTTGCTTAGATGAGATCACAAGTATGTCCCACCCATACTGCATGTTGATTAAGATGGGGGAGGAGTCTCTCTAACTTTTTGTTCAGGCTAGCCTCAAACTGTAATCCTCCCAGCCTCTGCTTTCTGATTAGCTAGGATTGCAGTTATAAGCTATCATACTGAGCTCTCAGATTTGTTAGATCTTTAATACTCTGAGTAGTTACCATATTTCCTAATCTAGAGCAAATTACTATCACACTTAAACATAGATATACTTTTTAAATTCAGATGAGGAATAAATTAAGTTTACTATCTAACATGAATCGAGGTTTGTCATTAAGCAATGCTTCTCATTTTCACATCTAATTTTTCTTTGTCAGTCATGAGGCTTGAACTCTGGGCCTGGTCACTGTCCCTGAGGTCTTCAGCCCAAGGCTAGCACTTTACCACTTGAACCACGGTGCCACTTCTGGTTTTCTGGTGATCAATTGGAGATAAGAATCTCATGGACTTTCCTGTTCAACTGGCTTTGAACTACGATCTTCAGATCTCAACTTCCTGAGTAGCTAGGATTATAGGCGTGAGGCACCCATACCTGGCCTTCTAATAATCGTTGTCATAGTTTATAATTGTTTCATTTGGAACTACTGATAAGAAAGAATTACTTTTAAGGGAAGTTACCTTGAGAAGGCCTCCCTGCTTGGATAGTTTTCCTACAAGGGTTTCATCCATCAAATGCATTTGTGAGGTGAAAGAAAAACTTCAGAAGGCTAAGTGCATGGTTGAAATGATTATTAATAGAAATAGATAAAAGATTAAACATGAAAAGAGAGGGGAACATTTTGAGTCAGAAAAAGAAGAAAACATGTAGCACTTTGGAATCATGGTATACTAGAAATAAGAGGATCTAGGAAGTCATCTGGCCTGGCTACTGACAAAAATCTGTCAGCTCTGTAATAACTTGGATAGATTGAGGCTGGACAGCTTTGGAGATGGGAAATTCACTGTTCTATATCAGTCAAGTCTATTGTTAGTTGTTACCTAATAACTAGAGGTACGAAAAACATCTGTGCTCTATTCCCTCCCTTCTTTCTTAGTTCTCTCTGATCTTAGAATAATTAAATCTAAGTTCTAATTTTCTTTAGCATTCAACCCTTCTTTGTGTATCCTAAAAATGCTTTCTTGACTGTCTCCCATTTCTAACATTGTACACATACCGTGCTATAGTTGTTGAGTTCTAACCCTGTTTCTGACATGCATTCATTAGTTTTATCTTAAAATGTGTTTCCTAGAATTGTAAGTAACATTGTGCTGCGTCATCAGGTCAGACCAAGTATAGGAGATTGCTTTTCTTCACTCTATTAGTTTGGGTGAGAGGAATTTAGAAATAAGGGATATCTTATTCATGTCACGTTGGTATTAATTTTATCAGTCACTTTTTAAAATTTTTGTTATTTCATAAGTGAGTGGGAGAATTTAATTAAAATCAGTGTCCCAACCTCAGTACTGTCTTATTTCTTCATTCTTAATTACTTGGGTAGCTAAGAAAGGGTTAATTGCAGTTTAAGGCTAGCCCAGGAAGTAAAATTTTTGAGACCTCTTTCTAAATCCATAGTTGGGAATGGTGGAAAGCACCTGTCATCCTAAAGGCTGAGAATGGGAAGATTACAGTTCTAGGCCAACTCAAGTTGGAAAGTCCACAAAACTATCAGCCCAAAAAAGCTGGGCATGGTGGCATATGTCTGTTATCCCGCTTACAACAGAAAACCTAAAATAGATGTATCATGCTATTGAGCCTGTGTAGGAATCAATACCAGGCAGAAATATGAAAAATAGGACTGGAGGCATGGCTCAGCAGAAGATTGCCTGCCTAGCAATCTCAGGGCTGAGTTCAGACCATAGCACCACCATAGTCAGTCAGTCTCCCTGATTCCACAAAATCAGAAACATTCATGTTAGCAACAGAGGATGAAGAAGAGATAAGGATGATAAAGGATAGTTGATGTTGCCAAGAGGCTAGCTAGGAGTGGGAAACGTGGAGAGTTTTCTGAATCCCCAAATTTCTGGCATGTTTCAGTTAGCCCTTGGATTGTCAGCACCTACCTTAGCCATGTTTAGTTGATTTTAGAGAGTCAAAATAGTTTGTATCTTTGACTTTGAGGCAGGAGTGCAAGAATTTGCTGAGACCAAAACAGGAAGCCTATCAGGCACTTGAGGGATACTTCAAGCAAGGGAAAACAAAAGAACTTTCTAGATATTTCATAATTACAGTAAGAACTGTAATATAAAGTCACCAACTTCAGTTGTGAAGAATGTTTGTGATCAGATGTCATGTCCTGACATGACGGTTTAGCGATTTCTACATCATGCTTATCTTTTTAGTAGTATACTCACATGTGGTCTCTCTGAATAAAATAGCTAGGAAAGTAGAACCAAGGAAAGGAAGTTTAGAAAAAAACATCAAACTTACAGGCTTTCTACAAAAGATGATAAATTTTTTCTGTAAGTATATTATTCTGGTTAAGAGAATGGGTCAATGTGTTAAGCTACCTACATTCAGATCTTTGCTGAGCAGGTTTGCTGAGTCCTTTCTGTGCTTTGCTTTTCTGTCTGTAAAAGGAGAAATAATGAGGTTGTTTTAAGGATTAAGTTACTTAATACAAATAAAGCTTTTAGAATAGAACTGAATTACTTGGTTTAAGGTTAGCCCTGCTTGGGGGGGGTGTGGGATATATATCCATATATAAGCTAAGAGGTTAGATCTCATCTCTGTGAACATTTTACTGTAATTTGTATTCTTTTATTTAGTCAGCTATTGGTTAAAAATCTTTGTGTGGAAAAAAATGTCATTAAATGCCAGCAATACAATGAAATTAGATTTTAAATACTGTGAGACAATCCAGGACCTGAGTAACCAGAGTTTATCCAAGGAAAAGAAAATAGTTATACCTCTACATGAGTTACATGACTAGTTCATCTGTCAGCCATATTAATACAAGAATATAATAGCCCTTCCTCCACAGTATAACCTGTTTTCACTGTATTTGATGTTGGTATAATTTGGGGAGGGGAAGGGAAAAAACAAACTATTTAAATAGGAATACAGGTTGACCCATTGCAACAATGAGATGTACAAGACACTATGTCGAAAAACGAACTTTACAATTTAGGTTGGGGGGAGGGGTGTAATTGTGGAGATGGGAGGGAAGGGATGGTAGGGGAAAAACAAAGAAGGAGGCAACAATGCTTGATAAGAAATGTATTCATTACCTTGCTCATGTGATTGTAACTCCTTTGTACAGTATTTTCACAGTAAAAAAATGTATTTTTTAAAAAAAGAATATAATAGATCAGAAGTTCTGTAACATATTTTGTCAATACCCTCCCCAAACATAAATAGTATTAAGCTAGTGTGAAAAGTAGAGCATCTGCCAGGCTCTGGTGGCTCATACCTTTAATCCTAGCCACTCAGGAGGCTGAAATCTGAGGATCACAGTTCAAACCTAGCCCAGGCAGGAAAGTCCGTGAGATTCTTTTCTCCAAGAAACCACCAGAAAACCAGAAGTGGCACTGTGGCTCAAGTAATAGAGTGCTCACCTTGAGCTGAAGAGCTCAGGCACAGCACCCAGGCCGAGTTCAAGCCCCATGAACAACAAAAAAGACAAAGAAAAAAATTAGAGCATCCAAGCATCATATGATGTATGTCAAATTTCCTATATTAGATTGCCAATATTGTATGATAATTAAATATCACAGTTATTTGAGGAAATCTGTTGAAATTATTTTGGGAAGCAGAGAAGAAAGAGTAATATAGAAGGCCTGGAATTGATTGGACTATAGTTGTAAATATTGTAAATATGTGTAGAGATGGAGAAGTGAAAATCCTTCCCCTGTATAACTACTATAAGCTAATAAAAATTCCATAGTTCTTAATTTTTTTTTCATGCGTTGAATTTTTCAGCTATCTTAAAGAAGAAAAACTTTGGCTGGGCACCAGTGGCTCATACCTATATAATCCTGGCTACTCAGGAGGCAGAGATTTGAGGATCATAGTTCAAAGCCAACCCAGGAAAGAAAGTCTGTGAGCCTCTTACCTCCAATAAACTACTCAGAAAAAAGCCAGAAGTAGCACAGTGGCTCAAGTGGTAGAGCACTAGCCTTGAGCACAAAGAGGCTTCAGGGACTGTGCCCAGGCCCTGAGTTCAAGCCCCAGGACTGACAAAAAGAAAGAGAAAGAAAAAGGAAAGAAAAAGAAAAAAGAAAGGGAGGGAGGGAAAGGAAAGGAGAGGAGAGGAAAGGCAAGGCAAACTGATATTATATAAAGGAAAAGGTTTGGGCGAGTGTGTGTCTCACCGTGGTTTAAATGTATATACTTACAGATTTAAATAAGAAAAAAACTGGAAGGATCAGTGCCAAGAATAATAACTCTTTGAGGCAGTTCCAGGGTTGTTGTTGTTTTAAGTTACCTATATTTTCTTTTTTTTTTTCTTTTTTTTTCTTCAGCTCAAGGCTAGCGCTCTACCACTTGAGCCACAGAGCCACTTCTGACTTTTTTTCTTTTTTTTTGCTTATGTGGTGCTGAGGAATCAAACCCAGGGCCTCAGGCATGCAAGGCAAGCGCTCTACCACTGAGCCACCTTCCCAGCCCCTCCTTTTTTTTTCTTCAGCTATATTTTCAAATTTGCCTGTAGTGATTTACTTACAATTAAAGAAAATAAACGATTAAAGGAAAATCTTTTTACATTGTAGATGTGAAAAACCCCTGACACGATTACATGTTACTTATGAAGGTACCATTGAAGGACATGGCCAAGGCATGCTACAGGTAATTGAATCTCTGTGTGTGTGTGCGTGTGCGTGTGCGTGTGTGTGTGTGTGTGTGTGTGTGTGTGTGTATGTGTGTGCCATTGTTAAGCCTTTGGCAGCAAAAGGAATTTGAAAATCTGTTTGTCTCTTAAAACTGATGTTATGCAAAAGCAGCATGATAGCAGAATGGAAAAAACACCAGACAGATCTCTTTGACAGTCTTGGTAATGTTATTTCACCAGTGTTTGTTCTCTCCGTCTTGTATGTCCCTCCTTAAATAGCTTTTGACAGGCTCAAGATCTGAGCACCATCAGTCCTCCTGGTTCAGACATTGATTGTAGATTGACAATAGAGGAAGTTCCCAAAGTATGGTCTTGACAAGCCGTCACCAGGCTGTGTTGCTCTGCTTCAAATGATGACAAGCTTGAGATATTTTTCTGCCACCAAGAGCCCTATTTAGGCCTAGGAGGCAGGCATCTAAAAGTACTTGGTAAGAAAGGCCTCTGCACAGTGAGTTAGCTATGTTTGCTCCTGTTTTTTCTCTGTTAAAGAGCCAATAATCTTGTCTATTCTTTTTTTTTTAATCGTTTTTATGTGTTTGATTGTAAAAATACTGTACAGAGGGGTTACACTTACATAAGCAAGGTAATGAGTACATTTCCTGTTGATTGACTATTTTTTGTTATTAGTTATTATCACTATTTTAATTTTTTTTTTTT